AGTTTCTACAATTTTATTGGCTTTATTTGTGCAACTGAATACATTACGCGACCTAGACCTTTGTATTTTAGGTTATTAAAAATAAAACCATTAAAATCAGAGGTAAATAACCTTTTCTACATAAAAGTTATATTTTCGGGTGTATAATAAATAAGAAAGCCTTTTGTTAAATTTTGGGGATAAATAACCATGCCAAATGTTTTATAATTTTGGCAATGTCGTGCCAGCGAGGCATTTATCTGAGCCTCGTTCCTTAAACATATGCATCATTATGAAAGGTATACGAACACTCGATGAAATTAGTAAGTTGCTTGTTTCGAGATTTTCTTTAACTTCTTTGCCTGTAGTGTCAGAGTAAATTAGTCAGCTAATTCATTGAAGCAATTAATTTAAATATTTTATATTTATTACTACAGAAATTTTTTTTGCGCGCATTGATTCTTTTTTGAGTAACTTCATTGTTACGCATTAAAGTTAAGAATGTATGCTTAGCTGTATGTCCGATTCTCAGAAAACGGACAATTGTCCTGTAATGAGACCTCAGTGGACAATTATCAGATTACTCCTCTAAATTATGACAGTGGTTAGTTTTTTTTGTTTCAGTAAAGTGGATATGTGCCAACATTGCTTAGACACGTAGTGTTCAAATTACAAGGTATTTTTACATTTGAATTTAGGCCGCAATAATATTCGTGTAAATAGGCACAACTAACAATTTTGTGCAATGCATTTTTCAAACTCGGTCAAGTCGAAGTCTCCAAAGATTTTTTCAGCAGTCGCAATTTTTTGCTTTTATTGCTTGCAGGTTAGTGGTAAATAATATCAAAAACGTGCTTGTTAATATTGGTCTTTATTCATTTTATTCACCTCTTTGGTGGGCTTTTAATTTGTGAATCAATCGGAGTAAATTCACACAGTTCACAATTACCTAAACGATGTGTTTTTAGGTAATTTAGCATTCCCAAGGCTATACCTTTCACGGCTATCACAATTTTCTACTTTATTACAATAAATTCAAGCCAACTTGTGTATTCTTGTTTGTCTTTGGATCTTCTACTGGTACTTTTGCCTTAAAATTTGACATGGATGGTAATTCAATGCCCATTTAACGACACAATTATTAATTACAATCAAAATCAATGTTCTGCCTAAGGATGATTGTATTTTGGCTGTTATAAAGGCAGGAAAATTCACGAAGGTGGCTGCATTTTGTCTAAATTACGCAACAGCTTAGCCGCAAGCACATCTTGGGTCACTACAAATTCAATATTTACTCAAAGGCTATTTGTAAGCGATCTTGGTTTCCAATGAAGACAACAAAGTTGCACTGACAAAAGGCTTTTTTGAAATAGAAAGTCAAAATATCAATTTAAGAATTTATTACTAATTTACCATTTACTCTCCCTCGTCTTCTTCATCGTGGGTAGCAGAAAAGTGCAATCGGGTCAGATCCAACACTGTGAGCACATGCTGAGGTCCAAAACAACATGCTTGTAACATGAAGTTGCAAGGCTGAATACAGATCTCTGTCAATCTTTTAGAGTTAATCGTGATTTGTCATAACTGTGCAAACGTTAACCTGATTGACAACTTGATCGAACGGGAGTGGCTGCAAGGCTTCAACCATCTGCTCACTTGGCGACAGAAGCAAATAACAGCTAGCTTTAGTGGGTCACATTTAAGCATTCTGAAAGCCAGTTAGTTGTGTTGTATTTCTAAATTGTGACCTTCATTTGAACACACCATCACCACATTCGTTCATCTGCAATTTTCAGGCCCCTAGCATTTGCATAAATCATTTGCCGAAAAAAATAACGAATGAATGCAATTTGAAACAAGCGACTTTAAATATCACCCAGTAGTCACACTTTAATTGCTGCGAGCCATGAAATAAAACTTTTGGTTCTTAGTGGTCAAAATCAGTTCGAATTACAATTTAGCAGTTACCGTGGTCCATTGAATGGCGCCATCTGGTAACTATTAAGAAACTGTTATAACACTTTTCGATTCCTCTATATTTGTGTTGCTATTTCATTAACAAATCAGATGCATTTGAATATGCGCTGTATTAAATTGCGTTACATTACTAAATGGATCACTATAACCTCTAGGTAACCAACCAGATATGTGCGATTATGAAAATCCTCGTCAAGCGCACACATTGCGTTGTGCAACAAGGCTTCAACATGATTGGGTTCAAAAATACTTGGTGGGAATTAATTCTTGCCGTTGAATTTTCAAAGTTCTAAGAAAGTGTCAAATTACTGCTTTACAAAGCAAATATGCCGAAAACATGCAAGTAGCGTGACCCAGTTGTACCTAATTTAACCTATTATTGGTGGATGTGAATGACATAGGCGATTATTCATTTTGTTATTGATTCACTCATGTCAAACGCCGACATCGTCCAACGATATCTCATGCACTTTTAACGATTTGACTTTTACAACCAATCTGAAGTCAAGTAGGTTAGGTTATTGTTAGCGTACACGTGACGCAAGCATGCACAAATTCTTCAAGACGTCAGTCAGTTGTTTTGCACAAGGTTGCTTGCGTTGATGCTTTTGTTTTGTCTCAATTTAGCTTCACGTTGACTGAAACTAGGTCGACACACGCGCATTTAGGAGACGTGAAGTCAGGTGATTGGCCGAAATGGAGTTTTAAATGGGACTCAAAATTTACCTTGAAGGCACTTTCGGAGGGCAACATTTTAGGCCAGACATGAAACTTATTTTTGTCTTCTGGTTGATATTGCATGAAGGTGGACCCACAAATTTGTTCATCCCAAGCTCCCAGTTGTTGCAGTACGACGTTTGCAAACGTCTGCGGTGAGTCACTTGTGACGACCATTGTGATTTCGTGTGCTCAGACACCTTGAAGCGATTTGCTTTGTACACAATTTATGATAGTTCGTTTGAAAGTGGATCTAAATTAGACGATCATGCAGAGGCATAAATATTCCCACAGTGCTCCAATACTGATACGCAGCTGTATTGACGTTGACTGAGGTAAGGATTTTGCTAAAACGGTCATCAGGCTGCTGACAGAAGGGAAACTAGGACGATAATTGGTTGGACCGCGGTCCTGTGCCGCAGCGAAACTATGGTGCTAAATGCGTTCATATATAGTGGTCCCAGTAATGACAATCGAATAACTATCATAGCAATCATATTTGGACCTCCACATTTACAATACACGTCAATAAAGATCAGTTATTTCGTAATTATAGAATATTAATGTTTTTTGAATGGTCATGCTCCATCTTATTATTGTATATTAAAGTTCAAAACATGACTTTTTTTAATGTTTTGTAAATTTCGCTTTAATTATTAGCAACCACTTTTACATTCCTACTTTTAACTTCAGATCTTCTGTTACTCCAATCTTACCCGAAGGATGCATGCCCTGCAGACAAGGCGAAGCATGTGACATTCCATGTACGTTGTTTGAAACTCTTCATAAAAGTGGAAAGTGTTGTTGAAACAGGTGTGAGCAGGATGCTTTACAGCTCTTGCCCATATCCGATTTCGATGGAATATGCTTTACACCACTTTGTAGGAGGGAGTTTGACTACTTTGTCATAATCAGCGGAGGCATTGTCTTTAAATACATTATTGCTAAAACGTTGATTTAACATGTCAGAGGTGTGACAGTGTTACTCAATCCAACATGACGCATGATGAGGGAATCAGCAAACTAATCATTTTCAGATTTTGAAATGGTCTAATTTCTCTCATAGTGCATTTGGTTAATACTGCAAGCTTCCACCCAAAAGGACAGCACTGCGAATGTAGTTGTTGGAATTTTCCAACGAGTCAGTATAACCCACAAACGCTCTTCGTGTGACCGTGTTTTGGCAACAGCGCTATCACTTTAATGACTCTTTAGACATTGTCCCACTGTCTTAATCACCAGCTTTTTGTCTAAATACCGAAAAGAAAATGAAAAATCCGTATATCGGGGGCAAATTCTACCTAATTATTCGGTAGATCGATTGTGCACAACAAGACGTGTGTGTTGTGAAGAGCTTTATTTAAAGGTCAAAATCGGACACATTTTTGCATCAGCATCGAATGACGCATCTAGCAAAACGACCTTTCTGGGGGGTTAATGAACTGCCGCAATGTGATTCAGCGCAACTATCTTTTCCGACCTCATACATTGTGTCAATCACCTTCACAGATACTCATTTTGTGCTCACACAATAAACCATTTTCTCTTGTTGCTCCCTCGATTCGTAATTTAGAAGATTTGATAAAAGAACAAGGACGCAATTCACTGTCAGATTTTGTATTGGGCTTTCTTCGTCTCTAATGCCTGTGGTGCTAGCAGTAGATACAAAACCACTGCGAGTGCATTTACAGGAATTATCTGGAAAGTCTGCTGAAAAAATAACGATTTTCCACCCTCTTCAAGATGTGGTGTTTTAGCAACAGCACGTTCACTCTGATGAGGCTGCAGACATAATCTAACGGTCTGTTTCACCAGCTTTTCCTTGAATAAAACTCAAAGGAAAATGGGAATGTCCGTATATATGGCGAAAAGCCGAATTATTAATTCCGTAGACCAATTGTATACCAAAACGACGTGTGTCTTACTAGGAGTTCGCTTTAAAAGTTCAGAGGTCAGTACATTGTCTTTATTAGTAATGACTGACGCGCCAATTGATGTGGGCACATTCCAGATACAAAGGGCTTTCTGGAGAGCTAACGAACTGGCGTTTTATGGTTGCATGTAATTTTCTTTGTCCTGACGTCATTCGCTGCGCCTCATTTAGTGCGCACACAGCAAATAGTATTCTACTATTGCGCGTGTGGTAGGATATAGAGCAATTGATAGTATGTCTCATCACTTACTGAGCTGTAGTCACTACATCACCAGAGCCACATGATCTGACTTATTTTGTTAAATTTCTGCAATTTGTTTCACTAGACAATAATCCACCGGCATTTTCGGCCCCAGAGTATATAGTGAGACCAGGCCTGCAAAATTATCGCCAAATGGTAGCTGAGTTAATCGCCACCGACAACGATCTTTGTGCTACACCTAATTATCCGCCCGCTGATTGTCAGTACGTGGAGTACCACATTATCTATTCTGCCTCGACGCCGCGTCTTTTCACGATTAACCGAAAAGGCGTCATTCACTTTAACACGGAAACGGATTTTGAGGTCTGGAAGGCCATGGGATCGGTTTCATTCACTGTGGTGGCGAGGAACTACGGCGAGTTCCGAGGGGTTAATGGATCGACGCGGGTGACGGTAGAGGATGGACGCCCATATGGATTTTTTGAAGTGTCGGCAAAGGTAAGCGCACCTAAGCACACTACTTAAACTAACATTCTTTTAAAAATCAGTCAGCTCCACTTAAAGCTTGTGAGGTTTAAGAAAGGAAAACAAGTGACTTGCCATACAATACTGGAGTTGATTATCTACCTCATTTGCACAGGCCGAGAAAGCACTAGGTCTAGTTCATAGAGGTGTGATTGTTAAATTAACGTTTCACGGGTGCAGACAACTGCAAAACTCACGTTTATCAGCAGCATTGACTTTCTGGATTTGAAACCTTACATATTCGTGTCCAGGTAGCGCATGATGGATTTGCTTGGACTCGCATTGCTCAGATGCACGGTTATTTGAAAGAACAATTTAAAAGTGCTCAATGTATCACTGGCAGATTTGGCTTATTTTCTAAATGAATCTTTATTTGAATGGTAGACGATTTCTATGGTTCAAGCTGAGTTTTTACAAATGTTTAATGCCGGGACGTGTGATAGCCTCAATATTTCTTTATATTTACATTGGCTGTCAGTAATTTGAATGAACCCGTGTTAATGCGTGTGCACTAACAAACTGCAAAATGCTCTGTGATTATAAAAACATCATCTGTTAAAAGTGCAACAAAACATCACTTTTCTTTCTGTTTCCTACTTTTGTTGTAGGCCGGTAATGAAGTGGTTTATTTGATATCAAATTGGTTGTATTTTCAACTAACAAAAAAGTGATTCAAGCCTGTGGTTCTCCGTCAAATGGAACCACGCAGGTTCTAATAATATGAACCCAAAAGACTCTTACACTTGGAGGACAGTTTGGGAAAGCAATAGATTGTAAAGTAATATGTAATCTTTATGAAAAGTTGACCATGAAAATATTTTGTGCTTCGAGTTTCACGTGTCGTTTTTATCAGTGCAATGCTTTATAGACTTCAGACTGATATTTGTTGGTGTTCTAGAAACGTTATTATGCTGAAACCCAAACTTTTCGGCAACCAAGTCCTTTCAGCAAAGTATTCGCATCACGAACTATCTTTCTATGTTACCTTGTGACAGTAGTTCACAATCGCAAGTGCCTCAATAATGACTTTACTTATTGAGCAATTAATAACTGGAAAGGATGGCTATTGATAATCTGAATACATTCACTATCGTGGAGATCCAGCCTTTCTCTAGAATTCCCGTAATTACCTTGTAAACATTTTAGTTTGCTATCTCAAATTACTTCAAAAATTTTTTTAAATGCCATTATTTTGCAATGGGACCATTTGGTAAACACATTTATTATGAAGCAAATTCAGCAATTTGAAATACAGCATCAGTTTTTCTTTCTCAAACTAGCAACAGAATTTTAAGAGGAGGCTGGGAAAAACGACACAAGTAGCATTACTTAAATTGACGCTTGAACAGAGCGGGCAGTCGCAAGACTACTGTACCAAATGGAGGGTTCTCGACAATGCTTCCATGAAGATCACCTATAAGCATATGTTCCAGTGTCAAACAATGGTTTGACCTGAGGGTTTGGAATGGTGAAACGATCCCCGACACTAGAGGGATTTCACTGCAAATGGTATGCACAAGGTCAACAAAGATGCTAAATGTTTCTTCGCTTATTTTTAGGCCCACAGACCGGACTGCAGGCGGTTAGACGATTGCACACTACAGACACAGCCACTTGTGAACATCAAACCACCTGGACTGATAATGGCTAATTCGGGATTCGGAACGAAGTTCAATATCCAGCTTTGTCTTCCGGTGGGTATATATAAGAGCAGCGTCTTGCGATTTCATGGGCCTTTTCAAGTGAATACGCTGATCACAAGTTGTTCAATTCACATAGTCGGATTCACCTTCGCAGGCTCCGGCATCAAAATGGATGTCGCTGATCTGTCCGTCACTAGAATCGTCGACGTAAGCAAGTCTGATACATGCAGCAATTAAGGCATCAGAAGTAGATCATGCTTTTGCACATCGTTTTCTTTTCCGTAAAAACGGCTAAGCTGATGAAATTCAGGCACTGGTGGAAATACATGTGTCAAGATCTTCGGGGGAATTGAGTATATTATGTATTGCTGGTTTGAAATCACTTTGAGTCGACCTCTCTAAGACTTGCTTTTTGAAGTGTATTACCTCAAAATGGAAGCAAAAGACAACTAAATATAGTGTGTCACTTGACCAGGCCAACGTTAATTCAGTGTAACTAGTTGCATGAGCAGGAGGTTTTGAAGTCATTCTGGAGACTAGGATAGACCCCACTGCTGTGATAAAAATATTTCAGAAATCTCAGTTAACAGTAAGGACACAAGTTTAAGATTATGTAGTAGCAATTTTATTAAGAAAAGTTCCTTGACTTTAATTGGAATATCGCAAGGATCCTCTGGATATCCTTTTTGAGTCCACAAAGTAAAAAAGAAGATGGTGACCTCTGTGAAAGCTTGGTATCCCAAATCAAAGACTTGTCATCATACAATGTTCGATGGATTTCTATTTCATTGTAGGGCTATACTGAGGTGGCTTTGGATAATCTAGTTGTGTCAGAAACAGCCACGTCTGAAAGGTGCCACCAACTTGACATCCTGGCAGTGGTGATTTTGCCCCAATTGCATTCTTCATTGTTGCCGATCGACAGCCACCTTGACCTCCAGTTTGCCTCAAGCACCATACAGTCCAAGACAGCAGAAGTGCCCATTAAAATTGTGGAGAACGACTTACAAAGTCCCCCAGACTTTTTGCTTGAAGACATTTCAAACAGGAGTCAATTAATTTCCGGCACTTCGAACACGCTATTTTTGGCTGCACAAACCCTACATGCCGATGTTATTAATGTAAGTTTTGTTGACAACTGCAACGCCACCTGATTTGCCAATTGTTTTCACTTAAGTTTCAATAGTAACTATTGTGTGTCCTACTTATTCTACGAAATAAGTCTATTTTGAAACATTTACCTGATCTTTGAAATCATGGTTTTGTCATTTGCTCTCATATACAGTTCTTTTGACAACTGTTTACGCTGTTTGGTTTGTTAATTGGTTACGTGGATTGACCGGCTGCGCTACCTCAATAGTCCTTGTGAGAATTCGCTGGATGTCTTAATATTCTGTGCAATTAAGGGAACTTTTGCTGTAATTAGTCAGCTTGCAAGTCAAATGTACTAATATCTTCAGACTTGTTGCAATATTCTCCGCGTGTGTCAATTATTCACGAGATTTGTGTGTGTTGACGAAAGTTTGTGCATAGTTACGTGTGGTCAATGGGTTAAGGCAAAATGACTGGTTGCAATTCGAATTGGAATAGGGAGTCAATGGGTACCCTTGTTGCAAAATGCCTCGCTACTATTCACTGTTAACAAGGCCCGCCTGGCTGAACCAATCAGTCTTACTCCTCTCTATTGCCGAATTTTCTAAAAATTCAACTACTTTAGCTGATCCTTTATAAAATATTAAATGCTTTAATTTAGAAATCTGTGGTAATGCATGACTGTTCCCGTGACAAAAATCCATAACGAACTCAACATTAATCACTGATATGCAAATTGTGAAACATTAGAAGTGCTCTAACCATCTAATTTGTGTTGTGATGACATTTTAGGTTACCATGCAGATAAGCAGCACAGTTGTTGAAATTAAACGGATTGCGACAACCCTTCCTATTGGACAGAAAGTTGTGCCTCAAGGACGCGCGACATTCACAGATGGAAAAAGCACGACTGTCTCTCTGACCTTTGGAATTGGCGAGAATGTCCGTAAGTTCATCATGATTCTGGACTTTTTAATATTTTCAAATAAGTACAATATGCAACAGGGCTCCTTTAATTTTCTTCACCATTTTTTGCTATACAAATTCACCGTACTTTGCCACTCTTTTTGAAATAAGTTATTTACAACTCCTTTATTCCGATTAACACTTGTCCTCACATTTAGAATGCGCCTGCTGATCGTTTACCGTATTTAAATACCAAGAGCTGACTTTATTGGCGCTAGGATGCGGTGTTCACAGTCCCACGCTCTGTGACCATAAGTTAAAGCGTCTGCTAGTTTAGTCAATTTAAGTCGTTTGTTGAAAGTATCGATTCATGATTAAACTGACTCAACGTGTAAACATCAACTGCCAGGTTGTTTGTGGCATTCTCATGAGTCATATTGGTGACTAAATGCATACTGAAACCATTTGCCGAAATTGAAGAAAGAAGTAAACTTGTTTGAACCCCGTAAACACTCATTAAAGCCGGCGTTGGACATCAATGTCACTGAGTGGTCATCAGTCTATTTGATTGAGACCTGTAAATACAATATTTGCAGTTGCATGAAATGATATTCAAATGTAGCTAACTGCTAAATACTTTACCTAAAACGTACACTAAATGGAGGTGCGTTGATTAACCTCGAGTCATACGTGGGCCGCAAATATTTGTGGAGAGTAGGGCAACTTGGATTCTTTGAATCAGTGGACTAACTCGTTATTTCCTAACTTTCCTACAGTAGCAGCTGTTCCAAACTCTTCACTCCAGGAAACGTCGATTATACTTGAAATCGACGTCTTTGTTCCCACTACTCTTGAAGAAAACCTGCGGTTTCAGTTTCAAGTAAAAGCCTCCAGTGGTCCTAAGAGTGATCTGGTAGAAAAAATTTACAGAATTCAAAAAGTTGTAAGTCTCTGCTTGTGTCTTATGTCTTAAGTTTCTTTAAGTACAGATCTTAAAGCTTTTGGTGTAGAATGTGTTAATTGAACAGACGTCGAAGTAACCAAATTTAGAAGTGCAATTCCTTTGGTGAGTCAAACTTAATGGAATGAAGCAAAATGTATTTCAGATGACTCTATCTGCATTAGCCAAATCTAAAACTTTGTCTTCCAATGCCTGCCAACAAATTACTGACGAGCACTGCAGCACACTTCTGCCTAGATGGTTTTGCATAACACGTCGGTTTGTTCACTCTGTGCCCATCAGACACGAGGTTGGTCCACTAGTGAGGTAATTTCTTAGACCGGCACCTTCGCATTAAATGCTAATCAATCGGGTGTCAGATAAACTAACCAATCACTTGATCAGCTAAATATGCACAGATCCCTGCTCTTCTTTGTAGTTCGATGTTTCAATCAATGCGCCGCAGCACGGAAGTCTGGCCGACACTGCAATTCAGGTGCTGAAAATCAGCATTCCTCCATCCATTGTGAAATCCTCGACCATTACGTTCACAATGACCTCGGATGCCTTCTTTGAAGGAGTCTATCCTGTCCGTGCCAGAATTTCTGGTATCGACAAGGGAATCACAGTAAAACCAAACTGCGAACCTGTGTTGACTCGAAGAAGGTGCGTGGGATTCCCACCATAATGTAACTTACACCTGCGATTTCAAATAGCACAAAATAAGTTGAGCACAGTTAAATATCACTACATTCGTCAACAACCAAATGTAAGATTTCTTTTTAAGTTTCAAGCTGGAACATTTGTTTGACTAAATTTGAGTCATGACTGATGGTGTGGCACTTTGTAATGATGCAGAAATTGAAGGCAGAGAATGATGGACTTTCGTGCTTAAAGCAACCTTGACTTAACGAACACTATCTAGGGACGAAGATGGCGGGTAAATTGTTGAAAACTCTAGGTCCCAGTATGACAAGTCTGATGTCAAAGATGTTGCTATATTTCATCAACCACAAAATGCAAATCACTCAAAAAAATGGTTGTGGTGAATTATGTAGATTTGTTTCCTGGAACGCAAAATATCATGACATCAATAGGGGTATTTCTGTGTATTGCATAGAGGAGAAGTGCTGTTGACACAGCATGAAGTGATTTCATCAGCATTTGAATCAAGGATGAGTTGGAACCTCTACCTTCAATTTTCATCGACTGCTCCACCTCGTGTTGCCATTGACTTGGCAACAGTAATTGAGGATGGAGAATGGCTGCGCAGTGTCGTTCTAGAGTTCAACAATTCCAAAGTCAAGGTGAGTTAAACTTGTGTAAACTTGATTTCCACTGTTCTCAATGTTCACTGAGTTTGAGCCTTTATGGAAGCTTTCTAAGGATATGCAGATGCAATGAGCTGCCGCTCTAGCAGCTAAATCTTAAAATTAAAATATAATTTACCAATTCCACAGTCACCGCAGGGCAGAAAATTTGCTTTAAACTTGAAATTGATTTCAAATTTCCTCCGTAAAAAAGCTGCGGGCATTTCATAAACATGGTTTTAGTAATTGCTAAGACACTCTTTTTAATTTTGTATTTTTTTTGTCTTCTGCTGACATCAGCCGACAGCTGTTGGCGTCTTGGATTTCACTATAGTTTCCATTGGGCGATTCCCATCGAAAGGAATTGGAAATTTTCGTGTAGAAATTACGCCCCTCGGATTCACTGTCGCCGAATACACACTGGAGTGCCATGCTGAGGTTTCAGGTTCAAAGGAGAGGCTGCCCAGTAGACTGAAGTTCGGTGATTGGTCTACCTTGAACTCTGCCTTTCCCAACGTCTACTCTAATCGCGGCCGGTGTTCAGGAAACACCGTGAATTTTGGCAAGGTGTTTAGTTCTGGTGAGCCAGAAATATTCGTTTCTGTGATCTTGCCTTTGCGTTAGGCCACCTGCAGTTCCCAGTCCATTTACTAGAATGGGCCTAGTTTTCAAGAAAGCATCCTTAAATTTAAGAAAAGTGTGACTTTTTATGATCCATTTTTAATAATGACTTATCTCCGATGTAGGTAAACCTGGGACCCTTTGTGTAATGTAACGTTTTGTAAGATTTGTGTGAATAAAACAACGAAGAGTTTTGAAAGTCTACAAAACTGACACTTTTCATGTGGCCTGGGATTGATTTCTTAGAGTAATACTGTAGCTGTGCAATGAGTGTAAATGTAGAATGCATGTAGCATTTCTATACCTTAAAAAAATAGAAGACATGAACTAAAATGCATCGTGAAATTTTCTTCTAACGCATGAGTGGAATTAAAAGGAGTGTGCGGCAATGGCAAAAGTTTATTAACCGAGAACTGACTGAAGAAATCTATTTTAGATTCCAATCAACCCGGCAATTTGCTAGTTGCCGAGTTGGCTGTTCTTGCTGACTTTCCAAAGAGCGTTCAGGGATCCATAACTTGTTTGCTCACATTGGACAATACAATTTCGCAAAGTGTTGCCGCTAACTTTACCACGACCTCAGACACATCTTCACCAAATGTGAGTTCCGTTTGTCTATGTCACTACACCAATAGCATAATTAGGATTGTCTGTGATGATGATGGTGATGCTCCGAATAGAAGACACAAATAAAACACCAAAAATTCAGGTTCCATGTCTAAGCAATTGACTTCCTATTAAAGCAACTGATGTCTGCCATCTAATCATCGTGACACCACGGAGGCAGTAAAATTAGCGCCAATATTTGTTGAGAGAGACAAACTTAAATGTCTCGTAAAAAGTTTGGAGCAAAGGAAGTTGCCATTCATATCCAATTTCAACTTCCATTGTAGAGAATGAGGCGGGTGTTTAAGGCCAAATGTCAGCGTTTGTTTCTCAGATTACGTAGGTAATTTCAAATACTGTTACTGATTCTACCTCGTTTACAGAAAGTGGAAGTGAACTCTCATTGATCAAAAAACTTTCAACTATGCTGTTAGTTTGAAGTGGGATGTTAAATTACGTCCTAGTGCCTAAAATGGCAGTTAACTTGACGACAATCTTCAGTTTATCATGGCTGCTTTTTGATGTTTCGCGTCTCCTTGGATGTCCTTGATTTTTTCATTCAATCGCACCGTATCCTAGTGTCTGCCTATTCGGCGGTCTTTACATTGACATTGGGGTATGGAAATCAGGCAGCCAAATACTAGTGATGTTTTTCATAGGATGCAGAAATAATAGAATCTGTTGGTTGGTGCGTCAGCGACCGCCCCTACAGCAATGCAGGAATAAACCACTGATATGCCACCGCCTCCCCAACCTGAGCCACAACATGACGTTGTGCTGAGTGCTGCTAACTGGCTCAACCAAAGATGCATCCAGTTGTATCTTACCTGAGCGATGATGAGTGCAATCGGGGATAAAATTGTGCTCAATGTTGAATGGACCAATAGGAAAGTGACGGTGGATTTGAATACAGCAAAAGGTTTGCATAATAGAATTGATAATGAGAAGTAACGTTTATCAGAAGCTTAGAAAATATAGTCATGTAAATTCTTTAAGCAGGATGTTATATACACGAAATAGTTGGCCGATAATTGTTGTTCCTAATTTACTTCGATCAACTATTAATCATGCTTGGTTGTTACAGATGAAATGAGTGTTGTTAATTTGAAATCTTTACAGATACCTGTGCTCAAAGTTTGAAAACGACTTGAAACATGTAAAAATTCAATTTACTCAGTCGTCATAGTTTTCACTACCCATTGCCATACTCTTGTTCCTTATTTAGCAAGGTCCACTGAACCCTGCAAATTGGACTCTGCAGGTTCTTGACGTGCTCAGGCGAACACCAATCAACAGACCGCTTCGTTCGGGGGAGGTAGCTCTAATTGCGTTCGAGTTCACTGTACCACCAAACACAGCCGTGAGCGCATCGCCAACCATTCACATTGAGAACATTGGTGCTACCACACTTGATTCTCCACATGTCCTCGAGGTTGGAGAGCGTATTCATTGGGATGACAACTATCAAAATTGCGCTGAGCCTGCTAATGTGTAAGCCAAATAGGCAGATTAGGAAAAATAAACTTTTTACCTATGACTATTTGCTTGAATGTGCTTAGTTAGTCAGTAAAATGTTTTTGCTTGCTTCCATGGTAAACCCAATTCTGGTCCGATTTAACACAGTATTAAATCAATTCCTAGTAATATTGGTGATAGTGGATCTTTGAGTTGAAATCCTCAGAGCATCTATTGAATCCGTGTTTCGATGGATGTGGAATATTAGTGAATCCACTTACCAAAGACGTGTTTATGTTACTATGGAAGGTGTGTTAAAAGCCAAATGCATTGTAGAATTTTTACGGATGTCAATTTAGATTTCCCAACTGATCTGACACAAACGAACGTGTCGAGACACCATCTTTATTCAAAAAGGATTAACTATCTTGATATTTAAAAGTGGGTTTACAACAAATGCTTGGAAATCCAGGCTAGGTTGTGCATTGACCCTTTTATTAGCTGCGACAGTTTGATTATGCCTTTATTAAATTTTAGCCATCCGAAACCAGTACAAATGTGCACGTTCAACATGGGAACTCTTATTGCAGGTGGAGATTATTACTCAAGGGTAAGTTCGCCCCAGCTCTTTCAAATGCATTTGTATTTCTTTGAAAGTTGTTCTTTTTAACTCTGAGACCTGTGGTTGACAATTGATGTCATGAATTTGTGGCAGGTTTGCTGTGGTTCCGACTGCCTGGTTTGTCATGGCCCAATGAGGATAGAAGACCGTGGACAATGCTGAATTTGGCCAACTACCATAATGTCGCTACCATTTAGACTAAAATGGCATCTGCTTAAAAGGGGAGCGTTTGTCATTTGAACTCCGAATGAACATTGCTACGTAAAGTGAATTTGGGATATTTTATTTGATTCACTTTCGCTCATCTTTGGCAAGAGAATTTGTAATCGATCTGGAAAGCATCTTACATGACCTTGGTGATTGTCAACACCTTGCAATGTTTTGGTAGGATTACCTTGCAACCCTCTAGTTAACGGCGATTGTATTAGCGTCACACCAGTCAAATGTGTGTTTGTGTGTAGCAAAGTGCACGTGCACAACAAGTGACCGAAAACTGTAACTAATCAAACAGGAATTGGATATTGACACCATTGGGTAGGAATGAAGACTTTGCTGAGGCGCTATCACTTAGAGTCTGCTACAAGCTCTAATCCCGCTACAAGGACATGACAAGTCTTTTCATTGTCTCAGAAAGGTCTGTCGTCACTGTAATGATGATATGGCCGGTTGAATAAGTTGAAAGTTAGCGTCGAGGATCAGGCCATTGCTGTGTTGTGATTAGCCTGTCAAATTACTGGAGGTTGGTTGCAAGTTGCAGAAACAGTGATGGGTTGCCTCAGGTGTGGTCGAGGATAGGCGGCGTCATGAAATATAAAATGAGCCAAATCATCAGCTGGTTGTCTCCGAAAGACGGATGTGCATTTCGGGAGATAAGAAATCGTCCAACAATCCTGTAGGTCATTGGGATGATTTGATGTAGATGGCATTGCTTCTCTTAAAAGGTTGACTGTGGGACTAAAAGTGTGCGGTGTCATAAACTCAGGAGCAGCAAACTGGTTGAAAGGAATTGACGGTCCTCTCCTGCTGAAAGGTCCTCTATTGGTACGTAGAAGTGCCAGCTGTGAGAGAGAGTATCTGTAGTCAGAAGTCCAGAGGTAAGGCGGGCCAATTTCGTGACCAGAAACCCTTTGTTGTAAAGTCTTTGATGGGGATGCAAGCCTTTACTTCAAATGCGATATGCAAAATGCATGCAGGTGATGAGTTTTCACCAGAAAATGACCGGGACGATGTGGACATCCGACAGAATTGTTGCATGATTTAAATTTATGCAAACCTCTATCATGTGTTTAGGTCACCATGGCTTGCTACTTACGTATCGATTTTCCAGCAAAGCTATCATCTGCAAACATGGCCGTGAACGGGACTCTGGGAAACCACACCGTGGCGACTGTCATTAAACTTTCAAGCTCATCCAACGCCTATCTTGGTATCTCACCTTCAAAAGACGTGAGTATTGATGTGCTGTGGCTATTTTAATACACTTTAAAAATTTTCGCACCACGAAAGTTACTTTTGAGTTTATTCATAAAAGCAATGGTGCACTTTCACAAAACCCATTATACACGAAAGCATAGGTAAGCAGCACGGACGTTAATATATGTATGAAGATTACAACAATAAGTGATGTGTCTCATTTCAAAACAAATTCTCTGGGTGAATAAAGGTATTCTGTGTGTTTGCTGCCTTTGCAAGGATATGTCATTGTCAAATGTTGGACCAAGTGTTATTGAAACGAAGACCAATGGACACGAAACTCTCAGATTACGCTTCTGCACCAAACCCGGAGTTTACCTTGACGACCTGCGACTCGAAGCGAACACTGAAAGCTATACCTACGAGGACGAAATTCTCAATATTAAACGCCTGTCGTATGACGCTCCTACGAACTACCCGGGTCTGCATTGTGCCACACGGAAGCCTGCCAGTTATAGAAGGAAGCCCAATGGTCAAATATGGCATCTGGGTATCTCTCTAGGACCTGTGTTTAACTCTGGTGGGCAAACATTTATTCACCTTTTTTTCCATTTTATGGGACTACGTGGTTCTTTCGAATTAAAATCTTAAGTTTACAACGCATTTTAGTATGTCAGCTACAATAACTGAAATAGGTATGCTGTAAGAGATAAAGATATGATGGTCACTTGAACATAGTCTAAGGCTTGTCTTAATAGAAATATTTAACATGTCCAGACCCATCACCACAGAATCCGTCGTACTTGTCAAGCAACACATCAGGCAAATCTTTACAAAATTAGGAGTATGCGAATTTATGAGAGTGGGGAACCTTAACCTGAAACAGCCTACAGCATAGAGCATTCACCGAATCATGTCAATTTGCATTTAGGATGCGAAAAAAAACCACCATTTCATTGCAGGACTAAGGTGCTTAATGGTTGTAATTTTTGCCTAGTTATTCGTAATAAGTGTTTTTGAGCCACCATTGATTGGTCCCCTTTTGCTTGAATCAGGCTTTGCTTACTGGGCGGATCTTCGGAAGCCTGAACCAGACGCTGACTGTCTTGCCCTGACTGTGGAGGTTCAGCTAACAGGCGGTGAAAGAGTTGAGGATAAGACCATGCGTCATGTTGTTGTGAAAAGCATTGCTAACAACAAAGTTACTTTAGCCAGTCGAATTGTCATCGTTCTGAAAGACCACCACAATGCATTTCTCGATGTGAATCTTGGATTGATGAGCCAGCTCTCGGTGAATGCGTAGGTTGTCATTTCTTATTCTGCCAACTCTTTGTTTTGTCAAGTGGTCTTCCGACATCACAATTTCTTTTAACAAAACGTGACACAGCGGTTCACGTGTTCAGCGAAATTGGGCTCCCGTCAAGACACCTTTGTGTTTCCGATCGATTTACCTGTTGATTGCCTAACTAGTGCACGTCTCAAATTAAGCTCTTTTAATGCAACTTCCTGACTTGCAGGGTGGGATGCATGACTTCGGTCACCTTATTCATTGCTAATTTGTGTCATGTCTTGAGGACGTTTTCATTAACGGGGAAATCGTCCATTACAAATTGTGTAGTCATCAAACTTCAATCTGAAACGGTGAAGTTTTCCAAAAAACACAAACTTTTGAAAAATTGGTGTAGTGCACTATTGTCATATCCATTGTACTGACTCGATGTCCTGATGTTTGATTTTAAAGGGGAGAATTTTTCATGGACATACACGCAAATTTATCAGAACAATCAACACTCGAATGTCGTAGAGCCTCATTCTGGCTTATGCATGGTGGAATTTTCGAAGTCAACGTAGTTTCAGTGAAGTTCAATGATGCCAGAGTGAAGCTTGTGTCATTGTCCAATGGAAGAGGTCTAAAGGTTTTTGAAGTAAGTGATTTAATTAAACTGTATTTGTCAGTTAATTGTGGAGTATTCAAGCTTAAACTGTTCCTATCCTACAAATGGCAGGCTGTTTAACATTTCTTTGTGCAAGCTGTTTTTTTGGCACTTCGTTCTTCGCAGTTACGACAGCTTTCTTTTATATTTCAGCATTTTAAGTAGCGAATACATTCACGTTTATCTGTTACTGAGGAAAGGCATTTTTACATTATGACTGCGGGCTACGCAATTGTCCACTGTTGTTTGCAATACTAAACAATTCCTGAACTAAATCACACAGTCTGTTTTAAACGGTTTTTACAGGGTGACCTTCGCTTCGGTGTGACTGGAGTCATCAGACTAGTTCTCAAGTCGCTGCCAAATGTGATGGTAAAAAGGGATGTTAACATCGACGTGGGCGGCATTTTGAAGTGTAATACGCAGGATAACTCTAAACCCATCTTCAATCCACCAGTCTACTTCAGTCAGACTGCGAGACTCGTTGCCGCCGCAGGTGGTACGTTTTGAACTATTAGTTTACCTGTATTGAGATTTTAAATTGCTAAAAAGGAAGCTGTCATCAACCATACTAGGCGGTTTTGAAACCCAAACTACAATCTGCTAGGACATAACTCAATACCACTAAAGACAGTCACTGAGTGAAGATTTTCAACAATTGATTGCAAACATTTTGACCAGTTGAATTCAAAAGGCTCTAAAATTCAACAACAAAACATATATTTCTATACTTCAAAGACATCCCATGTACCTGGCAACCAGAATCGCTATCAAATGACTACTCATGTTCCAGCATGTCGCTTTGTGTCAGTCGAAATCATTTCTTTCTACCTGACTAGTGACAACACAGTGGATTTTTCTTTAGACAACAAGGAAGCTGCAACTTGGTTATTGATTTATCCCTTTGTCTGTGTCAAATTACTTTGATTCTAGGTCCATTTTAATGTTTCTAACATGATATGAAGTCCAGATCACACTCCACTGTATTACCGAGAAAATTCAAAAGACTTTGCCAATGTAAAGCATCCTTTGCGAGTGAAGTTATGCTTAACAGATCACACCTGAGTCTGTTCGACTTGTCGATTAACGGCAGTTATTTAGAAATTACCTGCAAATAATTTGCTAGTATCGGCAAATGATTGCATACTGAATGCCGATGTTTTGAATAGACCACAATTTGTGAACGCGAATTACACGAGGGTCGCCATTTGTGTTGGCCATATTCGGTTACGCAGATACCCGAGAGGATGGCGAAGGAACATGCGGCTATTAAATATCAACCAGACAGTGTTGGCAGTGTCGCTTTATTCTCATGCGTGGATAAAAAAATGAACAATGCTGACTAACACAGGTTGGGTGGGTTAGTGAATGTGAAAACTACTGAAGGACCAGACAGGTTTAATGAGTGGAAGAGAGTGCGTATGTATGTGTGATCAGAAGTGTCCGCGCGGGTGCTGGGAACACAAATTACGGTCATCATGGTCCCCATAAACTTTATGGATGAATTGCTATCTTGTTAATTGTCAAATGTGCTGTAGCAAAGTTATCTATGCCAAATAAAGACAGTAATCACTACAAAAAAAGTTTGAAAAAGAAAGATGTTTGTGCGCTTTAATGTTGAACTTTAATGACTAGAAAATGGTGTATATTTTTTCTTCCCAGTCTTTTCTAATTCAAACAAAACAAGTACAACAAACATATCATATTTCTTCAAGCAGTTTCCTTCGCACACACTTCCTCGCACCAATTACCACGGGGATCTGTACTAGCGAAAGCAACTTAATATGTGAACAATTCACACACCCACACGTGACATATTCAGTGGGGCTTTTATGCCGGCAGAAGTAGCTTTTAATTCATAAACTTGGCTGTGATTTTAACTTGCTTAGGTATCTGACCATCGGTGGACTTAGAGACACTGGTCGCTTTCGGTAAGTGGAAAGGCTGTAGTGAGGTTATGAAAAAATGAAAATGAAACGAAATGGTTCCGCATGAGCTTTTGTTCAAGGTGTTTTGCCATGTGATTTTAGTTACTGCAGTAGCAATCGTCACTTCACGCAAATTCGAGCAGGCAAATCAAAACCTTTTTAAGCATTCTCTCGCTGGTTAAGACACCATGGTGCTAGTAGGCAACGCCTACTCAATCTGCAGACAATGACGTGAGCCTACTGATTCAGTTAAAGCTGTGGCCGTTAAACGTGTTGCATGTTGCATGTTCAAGCGAGCACGTAACACGAATTCCTTCGAGAAGGCATTCGTTGCTAGACTTAGGCACTGGTTGAAAATACAATATGCCAATAATGTGAATGTCTCAAACTAGAAAATCCCGTTCCTCAAAGAACAAATTATTAATCTGATTAAGCATTATCAAAAAATTGACTTGTCTATCTTGAAAGAATTTTGTGCGTTTCAGAACACTTAGGTAATCCCAACTACCTGAGACTCAAGCCGTGCCAAGTGAGGGTGTTTGGTGCGCCTGGTGACTTTGGGGATATCCTCCTCCATTCTGACGCCACCAGGTATTGGACAACCCACGCTAGAGGCGGATACTACAAAGCCTTTCGTAGCGTGACCGTTCTCTTCGGACGAGTTTTCCATATCAGCGACATTACTCTGAAACTTAAGGAGAACGCAAATAATACGCCCCGGTCGTTAGATCTCGATGGAACGCGAGACGGCAAGTCATTCTTCTTCCTCCGTAAGGTGAGTCTTACCATTCACGACGTGTGCCTTAAACCTGGTTTAAATGCCACCATTCCAAATTAACCACTTGACTTCTGTCAGTGTAGTGGCTTGTACCAATGCTTATGTAGATGTGTAGGTTACGTAGTCATCGTGTAATGCATAGCTGAGCGTAGCGTGACGCTTACTCACCTGAAGGGTTAAACTATTGTCTACATGGAAATTCTGCGCTGTGATTTCAGGTGGGCGTGGCATTTCAGTCGAACTCGCTGGAAACGAATATCACCCTCACGAATTTGCCGGGCGTTCGTGGTCTTCGATTAACTCTCAGAGACCTCCTCTATGACGACGAGGTAGTACACATCAAGATGGGCTTTTTCGGCTCGTTGGAATCGCAAGCACAGAATGATTTTGGTGGGTTTTAAAATTGTTTTGTGTGCTTCAATTTTGTAGCACTGCTTTTCGTTGAGGTGGAGACCCTCTGATTAAGTTAATAGTCCAAACCCGCCGTGGTGCATGTGTAAACACCGATTGCCTCCCACTGACCTCGTCCGATTTGTTAGATCCAATAAATGAAATTTTTGGATTAGCGAAAATTCGATATTTAAGACAGTGTAATTAGTTGCAGACACGTTAGAGTTGCATGACGCAGAAGGTCACCCCAGCCCACTCATTGAGTTTGGATCGTGACTGAAACCAATGACGAGTACCCATATGATGCTAAAACAGACACTGTTTCTTTTGAGTAAATAGTCAGTGTTTTTGAACTGCCTGTTTTGCTGCACCGTCCAGATCCTTGCGAAGCGCAGACAACGAGCTCTACAGATGGACAGTGTGCATCATCGGTCGCGCTTCGAAGCTACGTTTCCGGACCCGACTTCATAGTCTATTGTGATCAAATCCCAGATGTGGCTGTGGACTATCAAATCCGTTCGGTCTGTTTCCGCTCATTCGATTTCGCTCCAACCACTTGGAGAGGCGAGTCAGGTTTTATCGCTGCGGTGGGACCATGGCTTGATTTTGTTACCCTATTTGAAACGGTGTACACTGCCGCTGGCGGACTTGTTTAAGTTAAGAAATTCTAACTGACTGTAGGCATTTTCATTTGAGCTTAATCTGTATCTTTTCCGAAAAAAGTACGATTTAAGATTATATTCCTAAGCAGATTAGCCTCGAGTCAGTCACTTTGCTTCAAATAACACTCAACAGCAGGCAGAATAAATTGCCCTTCTTCAGGTTTGGATGGTCGCATCGCGCAAGTGGTATCGTACATTCCGAAAGAGAATGTGCTGCTGGCCACGTCAAGCTGTGAGAAAGAGTACTTTCTGAGCGCAGATTTCGGCGACTCATGGGTTTCAATCGACAGACGACACTTCGTGTACTGGAACACCTACCCCGAGACACGCGCAATGGTGTCGGTCTCCTGGACGACTGTACCTCCGGGATTTCAACCGTCCTCAACAGGTTCAAGTTGTACGGCCTTTCAGGTTCGACAGTGGCACTGTGAGTCCCTCTTTTATACCGATTCATACTTGGCTTCTCCGATCGTTTCGTATTTCAGTTGATTAGTCTAAGATGTTCCAGTTAATTGAATTGCTTCAGTCGTAGAAAAATCTATTTATTCCGAACCGAGCGTTTCACCTGCCACACCTAAGCGGCACTTGTTGATTGGCAGCAAGGTATTCTAAATCACACCTTTAACAATTAACACGTGAGTGGGAGGTCTGAGCTTAACTGTGCAAACGTAAGGCTGGTTAAATTGAGTAGATTTCTTGATGGGTAGAAATCAATTATTTGATCTTAAAATCAACCACAGCTGACGACATCAGATCAGCAATTTCAAGGGCAAGAATTTAAAATAGCACAAAATCCAAAGCTTTGAAATTACTACGATTTTATTACGAACGGTAGTTTTCAGTCACGAATCAAAAAAGTAGATTATTTGCATTGCTAAGGGTCAATCAGGCCATATTCCTCTGCGTTGATTAATAAAATGATTAAGGCGTGCTAATTTTGGGGCCGCATTTGCCCAATGTGTCTCCAGTATTAAATTTATCTGGCAGAAATTGTCGCACGTTTTTACGCAAACCCTGCATCTGGTATGATGTGGGCGCGTCAACCAAGGCAAAATACGTGTGGTTCACTGGAAAGATTGCTGTAATAGCCAAACATCACTTCAGGCGTTCTGTTTTTGCAGCGACGAAAGATGTCTAATTATTTTGTGTTAAGTACTTCCGTGATTTGTATGTACTTGTAAGGCAGCACATCTATTCACGAATGAAAGTTGCTTGTTAGCTTATGCAGGCTCAGTTGTTATTTCTCATCCTTTTGTAACCAATGTTTTCATTAAATAAGGTTTAAAATGTTTTGTCTATTAAAATTGCCTCGCTGTCTAAAAACCTAATTGTATGACACAAAGCATTCCTAGCACTGAAGGAATGCAATAATTTATTATTCTTGTTTGTGGGGATACTAAAATTCACCTGCATTTTCACCTACAATAACCTTCTATGACTTAGTTGCTTGCCACTTCCCGCAACGTGTGAACCGACTAGATTAATGGAAAACATGCGACTTCCTGTTGCAGTAGTTCGTCTGCGCTTTATTGAATCTGGCCCATGAGATTTCCTAGAATTAATGATTCATCAAGGCCCAGCACGTGCATGGAGTGTCGAAGGTGTTACTTATAATTTTGAGCACACTCGACAGCCTTCAGTGGAGTTTTGGTGATTTGTCACATGATGCGCGTGTTCGCCTCTAACTAGCTGATACGTGACATACACTGCCTCTGAATTAGCTTCTCTCTTTGGTTGCCCTCTGATCTACTAAAAAACGCTCACGTTGACCGCACAAACACACTTGCTTGGTCTGTACACAGCTAAATTGTCGCATCTTCTTCATCCTGTCTTCGCTTTTTCCTCGTTAACTGGAAGTCTGGACAGTAACTCGGTCGGCGTCCAAGTCATTTTTGACAACGTTTGTATTAAACTGAATTCTATTATTGTTAAACAGCGCATCTGTGTGTTTGTTGGTTTGACGATGCAGGTACAAAACCCGTGCAGAATT